TTTTTTCTGAGGCACATCTCCCTGACACTATCCAGCCGAGAACTGTTTTTTGCAAAATGGGAAACTCGGGCCCTTGCTTTATCTGGCCGACTGACAATAGTTCAAAGAACGAGTCTGCGCTTATAAGCATATCTATTTTTTGGGGCTTGAAGAAGAATGGATCTGCCAATTGAATATTTTCAGGAACTCTCCAGCCGCTGGTGTTCACCGTTTGATCCGGATGATAACCAGAAATATTTTTTAGTATGTAAAATTCGGACGACAATTGACTGCTACCCACTCGCGACTTAACTATCGTGTGAATTTTCTTGGTTGCTTGAGCATTAGTTCCACCAATGCCCCGCAAGCTCAAACACACGTCCTCTCTCTTAATCTGAAGTCTCTGAGCGAGCTCATCGGTCACAAAATTTACTTGTGAACCAGAATCGAGCAGCGCTCGAGCCAAAACTAATTCGCCACTTTTTGTTTGGACGCTCACGATGGCTGTGGCAAGAATAACTTTATCCGATGCAATCGCATGCATTCGTAATACGTTTGTCATCCCCAATGGACAAAAGAGAATCGTATAGCGCTGTGACTGTGTCGATCAGGTTTCTATGGGCTGTAGCTGATGGCTGGGAAATCTTTGGCAGATTAAACAGTGTCGATATATTGTCAAAAAAAATTAAACAATCATTATCGTACACCCGCCTTAGGCTAGCCAGGGCTTTTGGGTAATTATTCGCTGTAACTTAGAATGCCCTGACTGTTCCTAGCGCGTCTCCAGCCAAACACGATATTAGATGGTTAAATTTTTCGATATCGTGCAGCGTGTCATCTTTGTCAACAAAAGTTTCGAAGAGGCTTATAAAATTTTTAAATTCGGAATGTTTTCCGCTATAGGTTGGAAGAGCGACGCTCGGCAAACGGCATTGGGGTGTGCGCGTTGCCGGCGGAGCGGAATTGTCAACGCTCTTAAGCTTTGTTTCCGCGATTAGGGAAATTAGCAACGATTTTGCTATTATCGCAGTCTCTTCTAACTCTTCGCGGTACTCATCATCTCCATCTTTCGCTTCAATTTATTCTGTATAAGCGAAGCATTTTTAAAGTGCGTATTTAGGATTTCTAATCGACATTCTAACTCAACCGTATTTAAGGAGTATCGACCCTCCTGTAAATATTTTTGCGTTCGCTCTATACTCATCATATATCCATCTCGTTGGTTTTTCAACCCTTCGATGTCCTTGTTGTTACCTTCTGATTTTGGCATTTTTTTTTTTTTTTTTGGTATCGAAGAGTTTATAATTTAATTTATTTTAGTTTTTTTTTTTTGAAATTGTAAATGTCAACAAAAATTTTTTTTTTAAATTTATTAAATTTAAAAATAATAACCAACGAGAGGAATACGCTGATCGCAAGCAGTGTAGGGGAGTTATTTAAATGAATTTAGGAATTAATTTAAGGAATCCTAATTTATTATAATAATTCAATAATTATAATATGCCGAGCGCACGTCGTGTAGGGGAGCACACGCCAAGCTCAAACACCAAAAAACGAACAAGCGTTTAGGCAACGGCAACGCTTGCACCGTTCCAGCGATCGAAAACGAAAACGACGAAAGAGAACTCAAAAGAACGGGCTGCGCTGTCTGTGCGTGTGTGTGTATGTGTACGGGTGGCGGTGCTCAACGCAATGCTAACGGAGAATGATGCAGTGACCGATAACTAAGGGCAACGAATATGGTATGGAAAACCGCTGTGCGCCCTTCTTCAAATCGATATTGCGAAAAACCTTTGGCCGGGCCACTCTTTTTTTTTTTGGATCTTTTTCGTAATGAATCAAACTTCATTTTCAAATGGTTTTAAACTCTATAGCTGGTGAAGAACACTGAAAAAAATAAAAACTAAAAAAAAATGTTGATTTATTTTTAAGAAAAATAAATTTTAATTTTTTTATGGAAAGTCATAATAATTCTTGAGCGATTAGTGAAAACATCATAAAGATATCTCTTACCGTTCCGAAGTTATGAATTAATGACTGAGTGCAACTTTTTCGAAAAAGTGTCAAAAATGCCATGTTTTGACCCCTATAACTCCGGTAAAACTCAAAATTTCGCAAAAAAAAGAAGTTCTTATATTTTCGTTGTGAACCGGAAAAGTAAAAAAGTTCGATGAAAATCGGACCTTCGGAGCAGGGGTGGCCCACTTGGCAGATTTTGACTCATAAGTGTATCGCTTTGGACCAAAATCAAATAAATATTTGTCGGCATCCTGGTTGTTCAAAGAATAAAATTCCCCCATTTCTCGTCGTAGTGAACACCAATTATAGTTTTGCAAAAATTAAAAGGGTAAAAATTGGGAAGTGTGAAAATTTCTAATTCGAGAATTAAATTCCCGGCAAATTTTGGCCGCGCATTTTCCTCAAATTTCCCTCGCTTTTCGCCATTTTCCGCGCTTTTAAGCGTCAGGTTTATATATTCGTTGCCCTTAGTTATCGGTCACTGCATCATTCTCCGTTAGCATTGCATTGAGCACTGCCACCCGTACACATACACACACATGCATAGACAGCGCAGCCCGTTCTTTTGAGTTCTCTTTCGTCGTTTTCGTTTTCGATCGCTGGAACGGTGCAAGCGTTGCCGTTGCCTAAACGCTTGTTCGTTTTTTGGTGTTTGAGCTTGGCGTGTGCTCCCCTACACGACGTGCGCTCGGCATATTATAATTATTGAATTATTATAATAAATTAGGATTCCTTAAATTAATTCCTAAATTCATTTAAATAACTCCCCTACACTGCTTGCGATCAGCGTATTCCTCTCGTTGGTTATTATTTTTAAATTTAATAAATTTTAAAAAAAAATTTTTGTAGACATTTACATAAATACAATTTCAAAAAAAAAAAACTAAAATAAATTAAATTATAAACTCTTCGATACCAAAAAAAAAAAAAAATGCCAAAATCAGAAAGTAACAACAAGGACATCGAAGGGTTGAAAAACCAACGAGATGGATATATGATGAGTGTAGAGCGAACGCAAAAATATTTACAGGAGGGTCGATACTCCTTAAATACGGTTGAGTTAGAATGTCGATTAGAAATCCTAAATACGGACTTTAAAAATGCTTCGCTTATACAGAATAAATTGAAGCGAAAGATGGAGATGATGAGTACCGCGAAGAGTTAGAAGAGACTGCGATAATAGCAAAATCGTTGCTAATTTCCCTAATCGCGGAAACAAAGCTTAAGAGCGTTGACAATTCCGCTCCGCCGGCAACGCGCACACCCCAATGCCGTTTGCCGAGCGTCGCTCTTCCAACCTTTAGCGGAAAACATTCCGAATTTAAAAATTTTATAAGCCTTTTCGAAACTTTTGTTGACAAAGATGACACGCTGCACGATATCGAAAAATTTAACCATCTAATATCGTGTTTGGCTGGAGACGCGCTGGGAACAGTCAGGGCATTCCAAGTTACAGCGAATAATTACCCAAAAGCCCTGGCTAGCCTAAGGCGGGTGTACGATAATGATTGTTTAATTTTTTTTGACAATATATCGACACTGTTTAATCTGCCAAAGATTTCCCGGCCATCAACTACAGCCTTGAGAAACCTGATCGACACAGTCACAGCGCTGTACGATTCTCTTTTGTCCATTGGGGATGACAAACGTATTACGAATGCCATCCTCATCCATCTAGTAATGGGCAAAGTCGACGCAGGAACTAAAAGAAAATGGGAAGAACAGTTAGATTATACATCGCTTCCTCTTTGGAGCGAGTGTGAGTCGGCCCTGAACAAGCGCTATCAGCATATGATTGCCGAAGAAGCGTGTAAGCCAAAAATTGTTTAGCAGAGCCAGGCTTATCCTAAGAAGAATGGAAATAGAAGTTTTTCGTTTGTTCCTACCATAGACGACCCCCAAGTATGTGTGTTTTGCAACTCAGCAGAACATCAAGTAGGAAATTGCACTGCTTTTGCTGCCCTAACAGTTCAGCAAAGATTCGATTTTGCAAAAAAGGCTCCTTTATGCATTAACTTCCTCCTAAAGGGCCACACGGTAAAAAGATGCTAATCGAAAAGATGCAGGGTGTGTAAGTCCTCACACCACACATTGCTGCACATTTACTCGCCATCAAATCTCGCGTTGCCAGCTCCTCCTCAGCCCACGCTCTTGCAGAATACTCCATCCACTTCGCATGTTATACATGCGACTGCATCGGATAAAGTTATTCTTGCCACAGCCATCGTGAGCATCCAAACAAAAAGTGGCGAATTAGTTTTGGCTCGAGAGTTGCTCGTTTCGGGTTCACAAGTAAATTTTGTGACCGATGAGCTCGCTCAGAGACTTCTGATTAAGAGAGAGGTCGTGTGTTTGAGCTTGCGGGGCATTGGTGGAACTAATGCTCAAGCAACCAAGAAAATTCACACGATAGTTAAGTCGAGAGTGGGTAGCAGTCAATTGTCGTCCGAATTTTACATACTTAAAAATATTTCTGGTTATCATCCGGATCAAACGGTGAACACCAGCGGCTGGAGGGTGCCTGAAAATATTCAATTGGCAGATCCATTCTTCTTCAAGCCCCAAAAAATAGATATGCTTATAGGCGCAGATAAAGCAAGGGCCTGAGTTTCCCATTTTGCAAAAAACAGTTCTCGGCTGGATAGTCTCAGGGAGATGTGCCTCAGAAAAAATAAGAAATACGGAAAAGTTGGTACATCTCAGCTGCCAGGAGGAAGTGTTGGAGTCAATCGACACAACCCTGCAGAAATTTTGATCTGTTGAGGACTTGCCGCCCAAGGCCAAGGTCCATACTCCTGAGCAGCAACTTTGTGAGCAACACTTTGAGAAAAATACTCAAATATTGTCGTCCGGGAGATTTTCGGTTCGTCTGCCGTTCAAATCTGACCCAAACACTCTTGGTTCATCATATGAAGTTGCAAAACGTAGATTTTTGTCGCTTGAAAGAAGATTATCCAAAGATCCTTCTTTAAAAAAGATGTATCTGGAATTCATGGAAGAATATGAAGCGATGGGCTATGTCTTTCACTAACAATAAAATTCCAGACAGTCCGCACTATTTCATTCCGCACCAATGCGTGCTGCAACCTCAAAGCACCTCGACAAAGTTGAGAGTGGTATTCGTCGCCTCGAGCCGTACATCGACGCAGGTTGTGTTGAATGACATCTTGATGGTTGGCCCCACCATTCAAGAGGAGCTGTATTCGACCCTGCTTCGGTTCAGACTGCACAAGTTTGCGCTGGCAGCAGACGTAAAAAAGATGTATCGTCAAGTAATGGTTGACGAAGCTGACCGAAACTTTCAGCTCATAGTGTGGAGACGAGATCCATCTGAGTCTCTAAAAATCTTCAAGCTGAACACCGTGACTTATGGAACTTCGCCAGTCCCCTATCTGTCGATTCGGTGTTTAATGCGGCTTGGAGAGATCGCGCAGGATTCGTGTCCAAAAGCCGCCAAGGTCATTCAGAATGACTTTTATGTTGACGATTTGTTGACTGGCGCCAGAAGCGTTGAGGACCTGTTAAGCCTTCGAGACGAAGTTTCTCAGGTATTGCAAGAGGCGAATTTGAATTGGCAAAGTGGTTTTCTAACTGCCCAGAGTTATGCGCATCTGAAAGCATCTGTCATGCCGTTAACGGCAGACTCAGACGTAACTAAAGCCCTTGGCGTGGTTTGGTTGCCGGGTAACGATTACTTTCAATTTCGGTTGGATGACTCTTTCCTGGATCTTCGTGCGACAAAACGAAACATACTGTCGGTGACTGCCCGACTTTTCGATCCGCTTGGCCTGTTGTGCCCTTTAGTGACTAGGGCAAAAATGTTGTCGCAGGAACTGTGGCTTCGAAAGTTAGACTGGGACGAGTCGCTGCCGATGCAACTGCAGACATCTTGGGAAGCTTTTAAGGGAACGCTGTTGCAACTGCCCAAGATCAAGGTATCGCGATTCGTTCATACAGACGCCAAAGTCCCGGCATGGGACATACATGGTTTCGCTGACGCTTCCATGCGAGCATATGGAGCGTGCATCACCGTTCGCACTAGTACCGCTGAAGGTTTAAAAGTATCTTTATTGACAGCAAAATCCAAAGTAGCTCCCCTCAAGACGAAAACTTTGCCCCGCCTTGAGTTGTGCGCAGCTCACCTTCTAGCGGATCTTTATAATCGTGTAAGACCATTGCTTAATTTTCCGATCACAAAGGTGTTCCTATGGACGGACTCGGAGTTCACTTTGCATTCGATCAAAACGCATCCGTCGTCGCTGTCGGTTCTCGTCCCAAACCGAGTTGCAGAGATCCAAGAGTGGTCGGAAAAAGCAATTTGGCGACATGTCCCCACGAAAGTAAACCCAGCGGACATCGTGTCACGGGGATGTGACGTCGAGGAACTCACAGCTTCCATTTGGTTCGCTGGGCCGTCGTTTTTGCTCGATGCAGAAAAAGATTGGCCTGTGAATCGACACTTCGAAGTACCTGCTGATGTCGTGTCGATGGAATTACGGAAATCAGCTTTGGCGCTTGTGGTTATCCCAGAGCCTAATTGTGTGCTTCAGAAAATAGAATCCTTTTCGTCGCACATAAGGCTTCTAAGAGTTTTCGTGTGGGTCTATGTGGGTTTATTCAAAGATGCAAAAAAGTGTCGCAGCCTTTTGAAAAAAGTATTACTCCAAGATAACTGAATTTTGCGTTCGAGAAAATAGTGGAAGTGATCCAATCTCACGAGTTCAGTGACGACATAGGCAAAATTCGGAAAAATAAACCGGTAGCAACGAATATTCAAAAACCAAGCCCTTTTCTTCAGGAGAAAAAACTAGATTGGTGTTCCTCGACATTGCAGCGAGTTGGGGGTCGGTTATTGAATGCTCCTATCCCGTACGAAGCCAAATTCCCGTTGTTGTTGTCGAAAGGCTCACAGTTTGTTAAAGCCTACGTGCCCTACATGCACGTTACAAATTGTCATGCTGGCCCTCGAGCTCTTGTAAGTCTGTTGCGAGAAAACATATAATTGGTTAATGCGCAGGAAGTTTGTCACAGAACAGTTCGTTCTTGCATTCGTTGCTTTCGGTGCAAGCCCCAACTCTTGACGCAAATCATGGGGAACTTGCCATCAGACAGACTTCGAGCTCTCCGCCCTTTTAATATCTGTGGTGTTGATTTTTGTGGCCCATTTAACACAACGTATCGTATCCGTGGTAAGCCGCCGCACAAATCATACGTGGCATTGTTTGTAAGTTTTGTGTCCAAAGCGGTCCAGTTAGAGTTAATGTCTGACCTCACCACTGAAGCGTTTTTGTTGGCATTCCAAAGGTTCGTGTGGTGCGACAACGCGACGAATCGACCGATCGCCACATGAGATAGTTCCGGGCCCATCTGGAGGAGCAGGGGGCGGTATCGCAACATTCGCATTAAGAAAAGGATGCGGGTTTGCGTTCATACCGCCTAGAGCACCTCACTTGGGCGGACTTTGGGAGGTAGGTGTGAAGTCTGCAAAGCACCTGTTCCTTCGGACGGCGGGCGAAGACATCCTGACCGCGGAGGAGCTCGGAACTCTCCTCACCAGCGTGGAGGTCGTTCTCCACTCCAGGCCCCTCGAAGCGATCAGCACGGATCCCAACGACGGCGAAGCCCTAAGCCCAGGCCATCTCCTGATCGGCGGGCCCCTTCTAGCTCCACCCTCAGCAGCGCTCCCGGACCAAGTCAGCCCAACCTGCTTGCGACAATCTCGTGTCTCAGGCACAGGTTTTAGCAGCGATGGTCCCGGGAGTACGTCTCGAGCCTCCAGGCGAAAAACAAGTTTCACCAGGAGGTTCCAAACGTCGCCGTGGTAGCGCTTGTCGTCGTCGCCGAGGACAATCAGTGGATAATCGGTCGGAACGTGGCGGTGCACGTCGGCGCTGACGACAAGGTCCGAGTGGCGGACGTGAAGACGGCGGATGCGACCACTTTGGGCTTTTTTCATGAAATTTGTTGAATTGTGTAAGGCGGGAGCGGGAGCGCAATAAAGCTTTAATCGCGCTCGCGAATTCGCCCCGTCTCTCGCCCCTTCGTTAAGTTAGGCTTAAGCGTTTTAAAATCCGTTACTCGTTCGTGCAGAAGTATGTAACAGGGAGAAGGAAGCGTTTCCGATCCTATAAAGTATATATATTCTTGATCAGGGTCACTAGCCGAGTCGACATAGCCATGTCCGTCCGTCTGTCCGTCCGTATGAACGCTGAGATATTGGAAACTACAAAAGCTAAAAGGTTGAGATTTTCCACACATTCTTGGGCTTCCTACGCAGCGTAAGTTTATTTCAGCCGAGCTCCACGCCCCCTCTAACGCCCACTAACAATTTTAAAATGTGTCTGGCGCCCACACCTTTAAAGATATCCGAGAAGTATAAATTCAATTTTGTTGTGTATACTTATACCTATCGAAATGTAGAAGACATTTTTCAAATCGGACCATTCAATAAAAAGTTATACGCAATCAAAAAAATGGTATATATCCATCTCCCTTGCACTCCCTTTAGCCGAGTGACGGGTATTAGATAGTCGTGACAACAACCCGGATAGCGTTCTCTCATGTTTATATTAAAATTAAGGAGTTAGTTGTTATATGAATCACATTGCGCAAACTCCCTTTCGTCGTCGTTAAAAATATAATCGAATTTTCCCTGCAATCACAAAGTTTTCGCATTCTTAATACAAAATAGTATTACATTTTTCATTAGATTTTAGCATGGATGATGACTTTGAAGTAACCAAATCCAGGCTTAGAAACTTTTTGGAAAGTCCAATCGGCCCAGACTTCTAATAAACATGATCCTCACTTAAGATTAAATACTAGCCGTAGCCCCATTCTAGATTTAATACTTAAAAATTATAAATAACACAAGTGAACTTTTTATTTTGACCACACCAAAATCGACCTTTCAGCACAAATATAAGGCTAACATGGAATAGACAGGTTTTACTGTATCCATTGTTTATTAAAATATTTTAAAACAGAATAACCTCTTAAAATAAAACAAATTGGGAGGTCGGGCCTCAATAACTATAGAGATATCTCTTAGCAAGGATGTAACCTGTATTCGTATTATTGGTCGTCCGTACACCTTAGTACCGCAAGGAGAAGGGCGTGGCCCTCGGCTGAAACAAACTTGCGCTGCGTAACAAAACAAGAAACAAAAAGCTAATTTAAAAATTTGCAATCGAAAATTCTCACACATTTAAAATTATTTTACCGTGTATTTATCTGATATACATTCTAAATTTAAAAATAATGTTTTGCGTCAGAGATTAGTGACCGTTCTTTGATATGCTCGTTGTAGGAAATTCATAGAAAAGAGTTGCTTGCTAATAGAAAAGTAGTTTTGAAAATAATTTCCGGTCAATAGAAACAGGAAATTTAAATCATAAAATATGATGTCTGATCAATTGACAAGCTGGTTAAGGCTTCCTAGTTCTTGTGCATTTAGTCATCAATGTCTACCTTATCTGCTTTCTCATCCATGAACCACAGAGGGCACATTCCAAGCAGACACCCTACAGTGATTCCGACAATACGGCCCTGAAAATATAGCATTTTTGATATAGCAATAATCCCATTTGTAATGATTGTGCGACTTACATAGCTTGATGACCGCTTGCTAGACTTCAATTCAAATTGCGCTGGAGTCAACTTGGGCTGCTTTAAACCCAATATCTGACAGCCGTTTTCAACGTAGGTGGCCATGGTGATGCCGAGAATATCGCTTATAGTGTTTCCAAGTCCAGCGGCTGCCATCGTAGATAGCGTTATAAAGTGGCCCAAATAATATTCAATATATTCGCCCTGCAAGTTTCCATAGCTAGACGTGTTGATTTGATTCGCCAAAACTCAAACTTACCGCCATGATCATGATAAAATTGTCAAGAAATCCGAAGGCGATAAACGGCACTGCATTCACAAAGAAAACTACAAATATATGCCGATTTTTAAGTTATTTAGTCAGAAAAAGTCCTTAACTTACTGCTGTACAATTGTCCTGCAGTGGGGGGTGCTGCTGATTCAACTGAGAACGAGACAGAACAAGGTAAACAGAAGTGTAAATACATTATAGAAGTAGGATGTAATGTAAGTCCAAGTTTATTTTAATTTATTGTATTGGACTTGTTGCTGATTTAGTCATTACCCATTTTTTTTCGCAGCCAATCGTCTGGTACTGTACAAAAAGTGCCTGCGATGACTTCACCTAATTCCGCTTTATTGGAGAGTCGTCCGAAGCGAGTGCGCCAACTACCGACGGCCAGTTGGCCTGCACACCCGATGATAGAGTGATGTGTGAGGGTGGTGTTTACGGGACGGTTGAGTGTTTTTTGTTCCAGAGTTCGTAGAAAGTGATAAATCGATTGTAAATAAACCGAGCATGAAAGTCAAAATGAATATAAAGCAGAAAAAATTAATTTATGACAAAAATAATTAATTACAAACATAAAATATATATTTCAAATTTCTTTTTATTTTCGATCCCTTTACTTGAATTTGATTTGGGTTCATTTTCTGGTTAACCTAATTCGACCCATTTACACGATCTATAGCTTGAAGCTGGTGAATATTCAAAGACTCTTTTTCTACACAAAAAAAAAAACTTGGTAAAATTAACCAATATATCTGTGAACTATTAGTTTAAAATGACTTTTAGCTAAATTTTTACTACATCATTTTCACTACATCGTTAGATACTGATATTCATTAACCGTTAAGGAATTTAGCCATTTAGATTTCACATTGGCTTGCCGACGCTGTTCACATATCCCTGAAATGCAGAAAGGGAAAAGCATTAATAAATACACTTTCTGAATTTTTCTCTTTCGACTTGCTGCAATACAACATGCCTGTTTCGGTGAGTAGATGTACGATTTCGATAAAGTGTGCCAAATGAGAAAAATTCAGAAAATGTAATTATTTAGTGGATTGTATAATACACTTTCGTCACAAAAGTTGATTTCAGAACTTTAAGGTGTGATTGTCACTTTTATATTACCTCGTTAACGTGGTTAAGTTGTCGTTAACTTTAAGTGATACCCCCACCCATGGATGTAATTCGGTATTACAAGAAAAAACCTTTTAGGAAAAAATTAAATTTTTTCCCCATAAATCCATAACTTAATTTGTCTCAAAAAATTAAAATTAATTAACGAATTAAATTCCCAATCGATTGGGGTTCCAATTTATTAACTTTAATTTCGTTCGATTTTTTTTTTGTAAAGTATATAATATGTATATGGCTTATTCCGTGACAGGCCCATTTGGGTCAAATCTCAAAATCAATCGAAACTTTTTTCTTCGATAGAGGATTGAAATATAAGGATCAGTTTTTTTTGTTAAACTCTTGACGTTTATTTTTAAAAAGTATTTTTGTAGAATAGCTCCGATTTTTTAATTATGCATCACTTGAGACTAGTTTGAGTTATTTTAATATTTGGTAAGCAACTTTGTGGGATATTTTCATATCTTTCAGAAAAACGTCTTTAAACATTTTTTAGTTTAAAATTAGGTATTTTTTAACGGAATTTTAAATTAAAAAGATTCTGTTCGCCGGAACACACGCGATTTCCGAAAAAAATATTTATCCTCATCTTGCTTCATTAATTCTTAATAAAGTGGTAAAATACAATTTTTGTATTTGCAAGACCTACTAGTAAAGACAACGATTTTACTTTAGCAAATTTGCATCAAGCAACAACAGCGCAACATGTAAGAAAGAGAAAGCACTATTCATACTCTGCCGTGTTCGTATTACTGTTCTCTTCTTACACGTTGCGCTGTTGTTGCTTGATGCAAAGCAGCTAAACTAAAGAATACGTATTTTAAATTTAAAAATTTGAAAAAATGTTTTTCTGAAAGATATGAAGATATCCCCCAAAGTTGCATACCAAATATTAAAATAGCTCAAACGAGTCTCACGTGATGCATAACTGAAAAATCGGAGCTAATTTACATTAATATTTTTTAAAAATAAACGGCAAAAGATAAAACAAGAGAGAACGATATAGTCGGGTGCCCCGACTATCAGATACCCGTTACTCAGCTAAAGGGAATACGAAGGAGATGGAGATAAAAACTTTGATCCGCCGTAACTTTTTAACGAATGGTCCGATTTAAAAAATTTCTTCTACATTTCGATAGGTATTGATAAACACAACAAAACTGCATTTGTACTTTTCCAAAATATTGAACTTTTTAAAATCGTATATAAGCGATTGTGGGCGTTAGAGGGGGCGTGGCACCCTTTTGAAATAAACTTGCGCTGCGTAGGAACTCCTAGAATCTGCATGCAAAATGTCAATCTTCTAGCTTTTATAGTTTCCGAGATCTCAGCGTTCATACAGACAGATAGACAGACAGACAGACAGACAGACAGACGGACAGACAGACGGACAGACGGACATGGCTAGATCGACTCGGCTAGTGATCCTGATCAAGAATATATATAGTTTATAGGGTCGGAAACGCTTCCTTCTACCTGTTACATACTTTTGCACGAATCTAATATACCCTTTTACTCTACGAGTAACGGGTATAAAAAAACCAATCCTTACAATTGCGGTCAAAATAATAGTAGTGCCGGTCGCGCACGGAGTTTTTTATCAATTCTTTCTCTATTTCTTCACATATCCAACTCATTCTTTCGCAAAAGTAACAATAATTATCTGATCTTTAAAAACGTGCAGTTGTGTTAGGATATCGCCTCCCTTTGCATTCCTTTTCACCTTAATTTGCAAGGATGCACTTATTGGACCCAGTCAAAATAATAGTAGTGCCAGAGATAATTTCAGGAATAATTAAATTATCTCCATTTTAAATTAGGTTTGTGTTGTTTAACAATACTTTTGGGTGTTATTTATTAGTCCCTAGCATTTTGAGATGCTTCCTCAACAGTGAGTCCTGTCTAAATGGGGCGTAGCAAACATTGTTCTGCCGAGAGCCGAGATCTGACTAAAAAATTGATTTATGTTAAAAATAAGTATATCGAAGTGCACAATATTATTGGCTGCTCTTCTACAATGGTTAGAAATGCTATTAAAAATGATCCAGCAAATAAAACGCGTGGTCGAACGAAGTTATTGGACAAAAGATCAGTGGATCGCTTAGCAAGACATTCAATGATCAAGACATTCCCGTCTGCAGCATCACTAAAAAAATGTGTGACTTAAATCTAAGTTTACAAACAATAAGAAGACTACTTAGAGATAATAATCTCATTCCAAAAAGTCTAAAAAAAAACGTAAGTCACAAAAAAACATGTCCCCAAAAGTTTAAAGTTTGCAAGGCAACACCTGAATTGGCCTTTGGAGAAGTAAAGGGATATTTAGTGGTCGGATGAGTCCAAAATAGTTTTCTTTGGAGGCCGTGGCTCTCTGCAGTTTGTTAGACGACGGCTTGAATTCTTTGTGGAACGTTATCTATAGGTCAGCATTTTGAACGATATGATGCTCCCATATGCCGCTGAGAACTTGCCTTTTGTTTGGACGTTCCAACAGGACAATAATCAAAAAACATTAGCAAGCTAAAGAGTGGTTCGCAGCCAATCACCTGATCTCAATCCAATTAAGAATTTATGTTGTGACGTGAAAAGAGCTGTCTTGTAAATAAAACCAAGCAACTTTGGAAAGCTGTACAAAGATATTGAAGCTATATTCCACTAAAGACGTGCCATAATTAAGTTAATTCCTTGGATAAGCGCTGTGCGTCTGTTATTGCAAGCGAAGGATATGCAACAAAATTTTAAAATAAACCTTAAATATAGGTCTGTTATATACATTTAATCATTTCAACTTGAAACTTTTTGTTTGGTTGTAAAAAATTTTGAAACTTTTCACTACTATTATTTTGACCGAACAAAATGTTGTAAGATTACACATTTTAATATTTTTCTGAAAAAGTGAAAAAAAGAAGTATCCAAAGGTGTTGTTAATTATTATTACCTACTAATAGTTAAGTTTTAAGGAAAAATAAAAAAAAAATTGTAAACACGTTTTTAAAGGTATTTTTTGGGGTTTTTAGAAATCCTGTATGGGCACTACTATTATTTTGACCGCAGCTGTATATTTCAATCCTATATCGAAAAAAAAGTTTCGATTGATTCTGAGATTTGACCCAAATTGGGGAGTCGATATAGCCATGTCCGTCTGTTTCAATACCGTTTGCGAGCTCAGTTTAAAAGCTAGCGTCTAAAAACTTTCACAGTCATTCTAAAACATGTGTACGCAGATCAAGTTTGAAAATCGACCCGATCGGACGTCTATATCCTATAGCTCCCTATAGCAAAAACTGGAGATTTTTCGCTCAGTGTAAAAGCTATTGACATGAATCAGGGTAAAAGCTCGTTCCGATCGGACGTCTATATCCTATAGCTTCCATAGGAACAATTAACAATTAAATTCGTGAAACCTGCAAGGGTATTAAAACTTTGGCTTGCCGAAGTTAGCTTCCGTCCCCGTTTTTGCTTATGTTAATTTAACTTCACTGGTAATACACGTATACACAGTAACGATTATATATTTTATTTAACACAGGATTGTGACGGTCCTGACACGGTCGCCATGTGATAACGGAATTTTGGTAAAAAAGATATACACGTGAATTTATTCAAATCGTCAAACATTCTTAGCTGCTAGAATTGAGTGAGCAGCGGGCGAAGTAAATGCAACGTTATTACCCTGGAGTTTCTGAATTCTGCCCGAGCGCTAAAATAGCACTGAGTCGACTGCGACTATCTCACCAACCCCCTCTTTCTCAATCTCTCTCTTTACGAAATTAAGATGCTGAAATAAATGGAAATAAAATGAAATAAAAATGGTGAGGGACCGGTGAATGGTGAATTTTGGTCTTTCATCACAAAATCATCACTAGCCCAAAAGTGTCGCCGACGGAGCCGACGAAACGGCGCCAGAGACGACGCTCTCCCAAATTTCTCTCTCTCTGCGCTGGGGTAGAGACAAATTAGGAAAGCGCGATCATGGTGGAACTATACTGTGACAAAGGGAAAAGAACAACAAGAGAGATTGAAATTGCAGATGTGGTTTTTCTCGCGGCGCGGTTTTCAATTGCGTTTTAACTGTGATAAGTTGTTTTCGAGTTCAAACAAAAGTGCTATTAATCAAGAATACAATTTTAGGTAAGTAATTTTCAAGGGTATTAAAAGATTGTCTTATCTAAATTATTATATAACTTCTCATTTTTCGATTTTTTTTTTACGTATTTTTAGGTTAAGCTTATGGTACAAGGTGCATACACAATATAATTTCAGAT